AGAACATGGTTGTTGTTCAATAATAAAATTATTCCTCAAAAATACAACTTGCCTAATAATTCTGCACTCCCCGTATTTAACTCAGTGGTTCTTCAGTGTTTTTTGGGGGATTTTTGGGAAATGAAATGCAATTTGAACCTTAATAATGCCAGATTCATCAAGTAGAAAACCTTGGTATGATTATTCAAAGTTATTAGTAGATGTCACAACTGAAAGAAATAAGTGTGGTATGAGCAGTAAGTATGGTATGGTAGCAGTCAAAATAAAAATAATAATAATTACAATGGCAAGAAGAACAATCTGACTGTTGTGCTTATATTCCCTGTGTGCTTCTCTTGCATGTAAGTCACAACAAGTGAGTACGTCTATGTATTTAAAAAGCAAGGGATAACATCAAATGTCAATGCCTCACAAGAATGCTCATAAAACAGCTGGTGTGCTTTGCAAAGCTTCCCAAGTGGGGCTCCTTTGGGGAGTTTTCCTACTGAGATGTCATTGGAAATCCCCCAATGGTTGTTGAAGGGGGATGGGATAAAGCATGTCACCCCTAAGAGACCCCCCCTCTTTAACAGTTTGGTACCAAGCTGCTGATTTGACTGAAAATATGAAGAAAAAAATCATCCTGCAGTTTCATGAAAAAATATTGTGGTAGTCTTTTTATATTTCAACTAAGTGAAGGTTAAAAAATATGAAATTCATGTTTTGCATTATACTGATGTTCTCAAAATATGAAGCTCAATTTATTCTAATCTGAAAAATATTAAAACCTACTTTGTTGGGATAAAAGACTGGATTAGAATAAAGTGTTCTTATTAAGAAGTATGACAAAAACTAGAAGTATTGTCGGGTAGAGAGAATTTCACACAATCCACCTCTGCTGTCAGTGGTTTCTTTCTTGTATGGTCTTATCTGAAAATAGTGACAGCCCATGGGAACTGTTATTCAGTAGGTTGCTTGCATCTAATGGATCGCATGCAATATGAGCATGAAGGAACAGATGTAGGCGAAGATTAGTTATGAGGGAAAATCTGCAGGTTTCTGTGCAGTTTAACAAACAGCAAAGCTTTTGTGTGCAATGATTATGTGTAGCAAAGCAATGTTTTCTCTGTGATATTTTAATCAAGATAGAAATTTGTTTTTGGCATTACGGGGTGAAAAAAGAAAGTATTTGGATTAAGACCAGATCTTAATAAGCAACAGATTACGGACACTCAGTAACAAATATCAGGTTTATTTTTGCAACAGACTACATGTAAAAAACAAAAGGGAGAGAGAAAGATTTGCAAAACAAGAGCTTATAATGGGAAGAAAAAAAGTTACTGGAGAAAATACTGAAAAACAGAAAGGGAACAGAAAACAGCAGCATCCTCAGTGGAATACATTACCAGGACAGCGGAGGCATGCTTTGGATAAACCCTTCAGATGCCTTCAGTGTCCTCCTGACTTTCAGCTTGTCTCCAAAGAGACATGTTGTGTGCCAGAGAGCATTCATCAAATTAGACCAGAAAGAAAACAATGTGAAAACCCGCAGCTCTCCCTCGAGACGTGCCGACAGGTTATCACAGAGAAGGTGTCTCTTGCTCTCCAGCACTGGGGCAGCAGCACACAGCAGCCTCCCTGAAGAGCAGCCCTCCCCTCCATCCCTCCCACCCTCTCTTTCTCTCCACACAGGCTGGGATTAAGAGGGAGAAAACGGGAATTCAATTTAGATGTGTACAAATGAAAGGCAACCTACTCCATATAGTAGTTTTTAGAGATTGGGATTATACACCATAGTGAAGTTGAAGGAACAGAAAAAGTTAGTGTTTGTGTGGTTGTAAATAACTAGAGGTCCTGCGGAACAAGACTGCTGACCAAGCTTTAGAAAGCACATGCAGAGCACGGCTTGGCTTGGACATCTCATTAAGGTGGACCGTTATCAATCCTCAAAGATCGAAAACCGGCATGACACTGCTAAAGAAGGCACCAACGTGCCTTTGGCTGAGTCAGTTTGGAATTTCCTGGTCCGCATCCTCTTTGATGGTTCAATCAGTGCGTGAGCCAAGGTCAGTCGATAGCTTTACTTCTCTGAAAGCTTTAGCAAGATGTATTTGTGTATAAAACTCCCAGCGGCACCTAAGGCAGTGGAAATGGCACTGCACTTACAAACGATCAACATTTTCATACACTTTGGTATGAACACTACAGGCAGGTTTCTCTTGACAGTGTTTCTCTTTCTTCCTCTTTTTGTGTTTTTCGTGGTCCCAACTGTCTCCCCAGGTTTTCTTAGTACATCTCATAGAAGTGTTCGCTCTGCTGCTCTGAGCAGAGGCAGATAAATGAGCTGTGCTGTAGGTTCACCGTGGCTTCAGCACTTTACCGCTAGATTAATGATGCCTTCCAAGCCCCGAGCCTTTGCTTTTAGCATTTTAGAAGTACCTTCATAAAGTGAACTACAGGCACATCTTGTTTATACGCTTATCTATTGGGGCATCTTTCCTTTGGGCATGATGCTGTTTGCATCAGTACACCTGACACTCCTGAGCTAATGAAACCCTTCCTGAAGCCCACAGTGTTTCTAGAAATCTTCAGACAAAGATGCCATTTCGACGAGGAAACCCACAGTAGCGTTATTTTGAACTCAAAATCCTCGAATGGTCAAAATAATCACAAGGACACCCATATCCATAGATATGGGAACAAATAAAATAAAATACTGACATTTCAGTTTGGGTTTTTTTTGGCTTCTCAGCCAGGCTACCTGTCAGTTTTCATCACAGTGGCTAAACTGCATGTAAACCTCTCACATAGCCCGCGTTGAATTGTGACGGGTGAAAAAGAAGGCAAGCATTGGTGGAGGACACCATAAATTGCTAATGTTATTGGATTTCAACCAGGTCATGACCACATCAAAATGTTGACCTACACACTAATCCTGGATGGCAGACTGATGCTCAGTAACATGTGAATTTATTTCAGTTTTGATTCAGAGCCATACGTCACATCCAGCACACACAAGATTCATTGAAAAAAAAAATGGACGTGGCTTATACATCCTCCTGGCTGTCCTTGGAGGGTCAGTTTTTTATTTTTAAGTCTAAATCAGACTTTGTTCATTTGCAAACCCTTTAGTGACATGCCCAAAAAGTCACAAACAAAACAAAAGACACCATGTCATCAAAAAACTGACTTTCTGTCTTTAAGATTAGTTTGTAATGGAAATCTAAACGACCTTGTGTTTTTGTGGATTTCATTGTCATGATGTAGTTTAAGCCCCCTTTATATATCCTTCTAGCCTGAATGAGGAGACAGAGACGTATAAATATGAACGGGCATACACCTCCGCTTAGGTTATCCTATGGGGAGTTAACCTACATCTAGTACACCCACATTACATCGCTTCCTCCTCCTTGGTTTCAAATAAACCTAAAGGACAGAGCGAAATGAGGAAAAAAAGGATGTGAGCAGTAGAGAAAGAGAGTGGTGAGGTGGGAAGAGAGAGGCAGTATTGATTCCTTGATTCCCGTACCTCTGCCAGTGAGTGCAGAGTGTCAAGATCTCCCGCCAGGAAAAACAAATCACAAGGCTGAAGTGATGGATGTGGCACTCCAGGATCCGGCGGTTTTGCCATCTGGATGGCCGACACTGTATATCAGCCTCATGCGCAGCAAATTAAATTTACATTTGGACGGCTTCCCCGGGCCTCACCCAACACAGATGCACCAAAAGCAGCCCTCCGCCACAACTTCCTTAATGGGTTTGATCTATCATTTCCGGGTCTATTATGTAAAGATGATGTTGGTCCATGTTCAGAATGTCAAAACGATGTTACAGTCGCAATAGAATCACATTATGCGCGGCCAAATGGATGTTAAGCAAAATGACATCACCTTTAATTTCCTTAACATGAGTCGATACTAATCCAACTTGCCGAAATATTTTGAATGCGCATTAGAACATCGGTGAAATAAGAGAGCAAATTCGATAAAAGCCAAAGTCTGTCTTCATTTTTAGGACCCTGATTCATTCCTTGCCCATTTTTTTTCCTTTGTCTGGTTTGTCACCGTCACACATGCAAACCCCTGCAGTATGAACAAAGTAAGGCTTGTCGGGAAGTACACTTAAAGGCTTAAAATTATTAGTCCAAAAAGGATAAGTGAGGATGTAATGCCACATATAAAAGAGAAGGTTTTTCTGCTTAGCAGCACACCACAAAGAAAAAAATCTAACCTGGCCCTGAAGACGCCGCCATGCCTAAATGAAATGACCTTTAACGCCGAGCTGATCAAATGGCCTGAAGCAAGACTATAAAAGAACATTGCAGTATAATGTTTTACAGTGTACTTTTTTTCTGGTCTATTGTTTGCCCTTTCCCATTTTCCTGGACGGTAAAATGTATCGTGTTTGGCAGGTGAGGAAGTGCGCTGAAAGCAGTCTGAAATGGATTTGATATAAGAGTCGATGTGGCAGCAGATGCCACGATTTGGTTTATTTTGGATCCTTATTTTGTAAAAAGAGATACTGAATTGCTTTGAAAGAAAGAAGAAGAAAATATTGATTTAAGCCTCTGTTGAGCTGGCTTTTGTTTTCCTATGTCCTTTTTGTTTTTTAAGCTTTCATGGCTGGTTGTCCTCTAAATGTCAGAGGTGTTTTGTGATGGCTCTCAGCAATCGCTTGAAGGGCTATGCAAAGCTACACAATGAAAAGCAAATTGAGCATGTGAGTCGACAGTTGTGCCGTGAACTTCAGCCCCCACTGTTCCCCAATAATCTGATCTCATTTATGTAAAGACAGCGCTTCCTGGAAAGCAGCGTAGCAGCTGCTACAGCGCCGGGGAGCTCGTGCCTGTGTTGACAGATGATTTCACCAGTCCAAAAGTTTAGTTTAGCCACTTGTATTCACATCTCAACTGCCTGGCTCTCTTTAACCTAACCTAACTTGAGTGGGAATCCTCTCAGCCCATAGATGCAGCTAAGTATTCCGTGCCCTCACCACTCCTCTGTGTAATTCTCTCTTTTCAGACAACTGACGACTTGCTGGTGGCATCAGCCGAGTGTCCAAGCGATGACGAGGACATTGATCCCTGTGAGCCGAGCTCAGGTGGGTTAGGTTAGTCATCTCTTTTTTTATTCTACTTCTCTCTGGGTGTGTCAGTGTGTCTTTGTGTGTAACAGTTCACCCCCACCAGGGCACTCGAGGCTAACGCATAGTGTTTAAATGAGAAGATTGGAGTTTCGTTAAAGCTTAAACACTTCTCAGAGGCTGACTGCGTGATACAGCAAGCTGCAGGCAGTCTGTTGGGTCGGGCAGCTCCATTTCTATACAGTAGCTCTTTCAGTAGTTTGTTGGAATCTAAATTATAAATGCAGTAAAATTACTGGTTTTTATTCATGCTGATTAATGTTTTAAGGCATTTTAATGTAACTAGCTTATTTGAATAGATTCAGGGTAGAGATCTATCACTGTCTGACCTTGGAAGATTAAACATTTTGAGAAAGAGATGCTATTTGTTTGTTTTTTGCTACAAGTTTGGTAGGACACATTCACATTTATTTGTTACACTCAGTAGATTTAGTCAGAATGAACGGAGGATCATCTGGCACTATTACTTAGAACTTGTTTAAGTTTTTTCAGTTGTTGCTGTTTTTGTGTGGGTTTTGTTTGCTTGTTTGTTTGTTTGACGATTGTGCTTCATCGTGTCCTGATCTGTGTGTTTTTTTTTTTAATTGATTCAAAAGCCTGATAATTGTTGCTCCACGACTTCCATCCATCAACATTAACCCACCTAAATTAAATGTTCGGAACAATGCTCTCAAAGAACCTCGTGCCCAAATAAAACTCTGCCTTTTTGCGTCAAACCAGCCGCTGTTACTGTGCTTTCATTTAATTTCTTCATCGGCTCACGGCATCTGTTAATAAACTCAAAAAACAAAAACAAAAAAGGCCACACACACGCACACAGTTGTGATTATCAAACCTGCAGGGCTCCAGCACGTGAAATCAAAGAGGGTAAACCCAGAGAGTTGGGGAAGGCTGATTTTTACAGGTGTGCAAAGAGTCCCCACTGTTGTTAATTAAATTCTACAGTGGGCAGTGGGAGTTCATCCTGTTGTTTCTCATGCAGTATTGCTCACAATGGCTGCACATAACCACCCTCGGAGTTTGTGATTGAGGCACATGTCATGTGTTGCTCTTCATAAAATAAACAAACACATTTTAGCTTTGGGTTCTGACCGTGTGTGTTGAAGAGCCCCAATAAGTGTACAACAATAATCATAAAAAAAAAGGTACCACTTATTGTTCTCCCTGAAATTGAAAATGCTCCTCCCAAGCTTTACTCAGACAAATATTATAAATGTGTTTGCTCCCTGCAATGCTAGCAAACTTTTAATCTCTTACCTCGCCACACATGGAGGGCAATTAAGCGTAACCTTTGAATGGAAAGATTTTTTTAAATGCATTCTGAAGTGATGAGAAGCACAGAGAACAATTAAGTCCAGACCCAAGGCCCCACGCTCCATCTAAATGTGCTATCGATCAGAATGTGGTCATAAAACGTCCACTAAATTAATGTGTGCCCCACAGCAAAGACTATCAACTTTTCTAGTCTGTCCCTCTTCCTGTTCCTTTGGTTTTCTACTAGCGAGATTAACTTTTACCTCGCTTTTCTCCTGCAATACATCAGAGCGATATTCCGATTGGGCAGCATCACAGCAGGTCCTTCCAGGGAACACTGTATCTGCTGCTTCTGAAAAAATACACAGGAGATTGAGCTGTGTACTGATTCACACTCGCATTATGATATTCTGTGACAAGGGCATCTGCCAAAACATCAATTGCATACTGTGTGATGCTTAGGGACACACCCTCCCAGTGCAGAGTATCCCTCTTCTTCTGTGATCACTGAAGGGGATTTGACACCAGAGCTGTGGGCTCCCAGGGTGGCAGCTGTCTAACACCGTATCCTGATTAATATCTACATTCAGAACAATTCACACGCTCTGCCAAGCACATGCCACATCTCCGACAGGGCTGCTGTGCATAAAGAACTGGATACACTGTTGCTGATAAAGTGCTACTTACTCATATTACTGTTCAGCCAGCTCCTTTTAATGACGCCAATAATATATCATTTTTCATGCAACACCTTGACAGCCTCTTCTGTCTGGCATCTCCAAAGGAGTGGCCAGATGCGCATACATTTGATATCTCTCTGTCTTCACAGCGCATGTATGCATACAGCAGGATAATGTTGGTGTATAAGTGATCTACAGAGGTCGAGCTTTGAAAAACACTATTATGCAAGCTATCTGTGGTCCAAGGTCAGCTCTAGATCATCCCGCATCTTACTGGAGTCTTGTCCCACAGCAGTCTCTGTCAGTTGTTGAATGACATGAATCAGGTAAACTTACTTATTGCCGAGCTTTATTACTCTTACTTCCGGAAACCATGGAAAGCCATCGCTACCAGCAGAGCTTATCGCCCAGCAGGACTCGGATTAGATCATACTGCACCAAATTGAATCCTCCCCCCTGCTTCTTGAAACCACAGAGGAATACACAAGCCCGTGATGCTGCAGCTCATCTGATCTGTAATAGGAGGATGCTTTGGGACCATGCTTGTACTGGGCAGCCAGTCTCACACAGCTGAATGTCAGCGTAATCCATCTGTTTATGTGATACCTGTTTTTCCGACTTCTTAGAAAGAAAAGTAACAAAACTATCCATAAAGATAAAAAATCCAATTCTCTCATATGTAAATATTGTTTGAATGCTGACGTTTAGCAACAATTTCCTTCATTTCTTGCGAGAAAATCTTTTAAAGACTGACACAAAGGGTTCTAATTATTTGCTGAAAACACAGATGCAGGTGGGAAAATATTCTCTTGAACAGCGTAGAAAGCTGCCACTGATTATTCTGCACCAAGTTTTCATGGTGAAAGTTAATGAAAGAGGTTGTTGCTGAGCTACATGAAGTCAGATGAAACGGATGTCTCTTACCTACCAGCTCCAGTTCATTGGCACCATGCAGGCTGTTGATGGAGGGCAGCTGCTGCAGAGTGACCCATATCCAAGGTTGCATGATTACATGCCGGAGCTGCCTTTGTTCCTCATTTTTCCTCCTCTGAGAGAACAATCCATGTTTAAAATTAGCAGCTGTTTAAAATGAGTTAAATTCTTGTTACCAGATTTGATAGGATTGTTTTACCCGTACCACCTTTTGGTTGAAAGTAAGTAAAGCAAAGTTTGTGCACTGTGTAAAATGTAATAAAAACTGAATGCAATGATTTGCAAATCTGATAAACCCATATTTTATTCACAATAGGGTATGGGAAACATATTGAATGGTTAAAGTGAGAAATCTTCCTTCTTTATGAGAAATATTAGCTCATTTTGAATTTGATGGCAGCTAGATATCTCAAGTGAGCGGGGCTGGGGGGCCAACAAAAGGCTGGAAATGTTCTCTTGAGTAGTAAAAAAACAGCTGGAGAAAAATTTTGTAGTTAATTAGATTTTTTGTCAACAGGTCAGTAACATGATTGGCTTTCTTAAGGAGGCAGATTTTCTCCAATCTATAAAAACCAATACCTACAATAATAATAATTCTGAATAATATACATCGGTAAAGTAAATAATTAAAACTAAGGGTTAAAGCCGACCATCAACATTGGATGCCCATGATCTTCAGTCCCTCAAGCACCGCATTAAAAATCGACATGATTTTGTCACAGAAATCAATGCGTGGGTTTAGGAACAAATCCATAAATCGTTGTTCACCATTGTTAAACACAGTTGTTTGTGTTATCCATAAACACAGGTTAAAGCTTCGTCATACAGAAAAGAAGTCATATATGAACACCATCCAGAAATCCGGGTCTGCTTGCACATCTGGAAAAGACTTAACAATACAGTTTTTAGAGACATGCATGTCTGTCAATATATGCTCCCATTCAGACCATGTCTTATTCAAGGAAGGCCTTACATATTTTATCAAGTGGATTCTCAGACTATATACTGCATCTATTACAACAGTGTGGCTTCACAGCAGAAGAGTCCAGCAGCTGGACTGTCCTGCCTGCAGCCCAGATCTTTCATCATTTTAAAACATTTGGCACATCATGAAATGAAAAATTCAGCAAAGAAGATCCAGGACTGTTGAGCAGCTGGAATCTTGAATCAGACAAAATGAGACTACCATCAAATCCAAAATAACCTCTCTTCACGTCATTACCTACTGGCTTTTTTTTTTTTTTTTTTACATTAATCCAACTTTTTTTGAATCGGAGACATGCATGTTGAGAAATTGATAATGTAAAATGTTTGACATGTAGCATTTAAAATATATTTTTTAAGTAAAGGGGTGTGAGGATTAATCCTAATTTCAAATTAAATAGGTTAACTGCACTTATAATAGAGCCAGATTACAACATAAGTCTGTGTTCTATGTCAGCACAGTAAATAATGAAGATAATGCTCGCAGCAAGCCGTTGTACCCTAACGTAAAGGCAGGTGGAAACATCTAGCTTGTTGGTAAGAAAATACTTTGTTTCAATTTTAGGTTATTCTTCTGTTTCCAATCTGAACCTAAGCTAACTGGCTGTCAAATGTAGCATTATACTTCCCAAAGTATGTTTATTATTACACAAAATAGCTGTTTCATATTAAGCTACAATTGGCTGTTTTCTTCATGCAGCTTTAAGCGTACGACCCAATAAAATCTAACTATTCCTTAGTGGCCCATAGAAATCAATACCAGCTTTGAAATTGACTCCCTTAATTATTACTTGAGAACAAAGCCCCCCCTCCATACCTCATAATGAATAAATGATGGAGGAAAACATGAGGAAGTTTCTCTTACACCTGACAGAATACACAATGTTTCCTCTGAAGTTTGGATTCTCTGATCCCTGACTTCTAATGGTTTTTTTTTTCCTTTCTTTTGAGAGAGTGCACAAAAGTAGACGGATATATCCAAACACTCGACGCCTCAGCTGGATGTTTATCTTTTAAACCCGTGCACCTTTATTTTTCCACCGTCATTAATTATGCAACATGCAATCATGTAAAATGTGATTTGTATGAAGGAGAAAAGCCCCCCCC